TTCCTGATTTCTGTAGGGTAATTATCTGGAGAAAATGGTGCCTGAAAATGGAATCCCACTTGAACATGAAAAAAAGATCATAATCCAGAATCTTGATGAAGATGAAGCCTGTAAAGACAAAAAAGCCGATGAAGAGGGCCCGAAACCATTAGGGCCCGACACGGTCCTTTCTCCAACTGTACCAAAGTCCAAATCATCAAATCCCGAAAAATTTTCCTATTCCGGTGGCCCCAAGAATAGTAAACCGGCCAAAAACCAGTCCACCTCGAAAATATCAGTTGCTTTCGGCCGCAGTACGAAAAAACCGAGCTTGACACAGAGCCTTTCATTTCCGGCCTCTGGCCGCCATTCAGACGTGATGAAAAGGAGCTTCGAGGTTTACCCGTCTGAATCAGACATAAGGCAGTCTCGTAAAAACAGTTCAAAAATCGTGTCACAAGTTTCAAATAGGAGTTTGAGCCCGAGAATTGGTTCGGTTGTGAGGGGCCCGTTTCCCGGGGTCAATTCTAAGCCCGCGGCATCTTCAGTAAAGGCAAATAGGTTCGGTATTTATATATTATGAGTGTTTGTGTTAGTTTTCTTTTTTCTGTTTTACGAATTGCATCGAACATTTTAAGGATGATTAATAACTTTGAAAGATCAACCCAAGGTTTTTTCTTTTTAAATAAAATTTCGGATAAAGTCTTGGATAAGTTTTAGAAATTGTTTCTTTATGTTTGTTGATTATGGTTACTTGTGATAATTTTTTGATTATTATGTCGTGATTCGCGAATGCAGAGTGGTGTTGAAAGAGTTTGAGCCCAGCAACAGTTTGTTATCTGTAAAGGATGAGGATGCTCGATCAACGACTTCCTCGTACTAATCATTCGTTTTTATATTCCGAGCTTTCCATTTTTTTTCGATTTTTTTGTTGGAAGGAGATAATAATGATTATTGAATTTTAACCGGAAATGTTTTACTCACAGGACACAGCAGAGGATAAATGTTTCGACATTCTCGTTTAGGCTGGAAGAACGTGCTGAGAAACGAAAAGAGGTACGATAATTGTGGAATATTGAAGTATGTATGTACTTTTTGTGTTTATTTCTTTGAATAAAAAATGCATCTTTCAATGACATTATATATTTCGAGTGTCAGTTCTTTTCGAAGATAGAACAGAAAGTACATGCCAAGGAAGTGGAAAAAAATAACATACAAGCAAAATCTAAGGTGCTCCAATAATCCACTCTCTCATCACACCAATATTAGCTTAAAGTTCGGTAAATAACTAAATATCATTAGTTCATATTTTCTTGAATTTGATAACAGGAAAATCAAGAGGCGGAAATAAAGCAACTCAGGAAGAGCTTGACATTTAAAGCTACACCAATGCCGAGCTTCTACAAAGAACCCCCTCCGAAAGTTGAACTAAAGAAGGTAAAGCTGTTAATCCTTAAAAATAGAAAAAAAAAAGGAAAATCTACATTTCACTATTTTGACTTAAACTGTTGAAATTCTTATTAGATACCAACCACACGCCCGATTTCTCCCAAGCTCGGGAGGAACAAAAGCAATTCCATTGAAAATGTCACGCCATGTGGCAGCCCACTAGTGGGTGAAAGCAATAGCTGCAAATCACCAAAGACTCCTCGGGAAAAAATTGTTGCTTTAAATAAGCCCATCAAGAGCCCCTTGTCCAAGTCCCAAGCTCGAGCGAAAACAGGAGACATTCAAAACCGGCCCATTTGCCCGACTGAGTTCACAGACGAGAAAATAGAAGATGGGCCCGAAAAAAGTTTGTCTTTTTGTGGTGATGAGTCGAATCTTGGTTCAAATGCAATGGCTGCTGGAGTTTCTGTTGAAGGTTGAATGATGATAGTTTCTTTGTTTGTTTTGAGAGGAAAAAAAAAGTGGTGTTGGTGGGAAAATTTGAACTTTATGTTCATTTTTTTTTTCTGTTTATTTTATTTTTTTTTTTTCTTTTTT